TTAAATAAATTTAATTGAAGATTGGAGAGATAAATTCAATTAAAAATTGGATATTTAACATTGATTGCATATAAGGAGTTGATTTTCAAAAGGGTATCTTTTCATATTTTAAAAGACCAGTTTTCTGAACTTTTAAATATCAATTACTTTGAGAATTATAAAGATTTATAAATGAAAATCGAATTACAGCTTCATAACCGAGATAGCACTTTGTAGTTAAATTAAGAAAAAGTTCAATACAAATATTTATAATTGAAGATAACCAATTTTTTATCTTGATTAATCAAAAATGAAAAGATACCCTTTTGAAATTCAGCTCCAGTTCTGAACCAGTTTTTTAGTTATAAAAAAAAAAAACTAACTTAAAAAATTATGAATTACTTAGCTACAAGCTCATATACTTTTGCAGCATGTGTAATCTCTAATTTTTTTGACAATATTGTACCATGACAACTACCCTAAGAATTTTTCAACTTAAGTCAAGACGAAATTCTTAAAAATTATTTACTTGATTAAAGTTAAATTTTTTTCTGTGTATGCAGATAAAGAGGTGGAGATACTTGATGAATTCCGGCGATATTAAAAAGGAAGCCTGGGAAACTTCCTGAATATTAAATGTTGCAAATACATAAAAGAGTAAGCGGAGGATATCGATGGACAAAAGAGTCATGATGCCTTAGCTTCTGGTTCTGTTTCTGGTTGGTTGGTTGGTTGGTTCACCTTTCATTCGAGGATGGCCTCAAGCTTTTTATAACATACTTCTAAAAGTATTTTTTATTTTCCCTTGCCCTTGTCTAGGACGAGGCACTGTCGCCAGGGGCGAGCCGACGTGCCCAGAATTTAATCCAATGCCAGCTAAAGCAAACCGCGGTGTAAAAAACCTGTTCACGAGATCCAATTCTCATCTCGTTCACTACAACTACACTCAACGCTCATCTCCAAAATAATAATCGTGAAATAGAAGATTTATTCTTTCTGGTGTGTTAAAATAGTACTAAGTAGTGAGTACTGAACACGGCTGCTTGCTGATATACTCTGCATCGGGTGGAGTGTTTACATTGGAGCTTATCAGTTACAGTTACAGTTACGTATCGGTTTTGTTGATACGACAGATAAGATACTGGTCACATGTATGCTCTTTAATGGATTTTAAACATCTGTTTTATATTTATTCTTATTCACAAATGTCTAGACTCGGGTGGATTTAAGAACCAGCCGAAATTATGGAGCTGGATAAATTGAACGCGAGAAGAGATGAGATTCCAAGAAAATATTGGATTTAATTGTTATTAATTGAAGATCAAGCACGATTGAAGAATTCTAACTAAGCCCAGGATAATTTTAATAATTTAAGTACATTGAAAAAAAAATATTTATTTGAATCAAGAGAATAATTATTGAATTAAGAACAGGGAATATTTAAATTTTGAACAAGATACTGGAACGCTTTTTGACCAAGTAATTATTGAATAAAAAATTATTAAACGGCAGAAGTAAATAATAGTCCTTCGCAAATTGATTATTTTAATTTTATATTTAATCATTGAAAAAAAATAAAATGATAAATAAATAGGTAGTGCTCGCGCCTTATCTAAGGACCCATCATATTAAAATAAATAAACTTTACTATAAAGAAATTACTAATAAACGTCTATCCAATATAATCTTTAAGATTGATTTAATTTTTTGGCTTACTGGGTATTTACTACGCTAGCTGACAAATTGTTGAAACAAAAGATAAAGTATTTAATGTACTACATTACATATAGGACGAGAGTGAATTTTAGTATCGGCATTTTGTGGGTCCATAGTTAGTGACTGTGACCCTGAAAGTTCAACAGCCCTCTATGCAGCAACGTCACTACTTCTCCTCTTCTACCTCAACTCGGTCTACTCAACTCTTTAGCTCTGGCTTTGTGTGTTCCTTGCGGTGAACCCGCAAGTTCGTTCAGCCAGGTCTAGCGAGTTTGTCGGTGGGCCAAAATTCAATCCTACACACTCTAATATCCCACACCGATATCACACACGTGGTCAACTTAATCGCCGAGACCTTCGTCTTCTTTGTAATATCTAAATTTTTTTTTTCACTATCATTTTTTCTATCTATTATTATTATTTTATATCTTCCCAGATTTTATTCACTGCCACCCGATTTAAATTCGGATTTTTATAGATGCATGCGTGCAAGCCACGCACGCGTTAGACCGGAAATTCGAGGTATTGTTCCATTTTGTTACTTTCCGGCTTCTAATGTCATCGCACTCACTGTCTTGATTATTTTTATCTTCAATAACGGTATAGTAATACAATAATTACTTCCAAGTATGTTTTATAAATACTTAATCATTTTTTTTTATTGCAGAGCTAAAATTAAACAGCCCGTAGTTGTAACTGCAACTACCAAGTAAATTGTCGAGTCGGGGGTGCAATTGCTATTATTGATCAGTATCATACAGCGAGGGTTCAATACACATCCACATACACGGACATCAAAATAAATATATAGAGACGAGCTAACGCGTGTCAGGTTTACATGCCAGCCACGGTTGCATGTTACAACTTGCTATGTACTTTTAATTATTTATTTATATCAAATCACTTTTTTTTTTTTTTTTTTTTCTCATCAAAAACTTTTATATTAAATTACCGCTTCGTCCCAAGTCATTTATATAGAAACGTTCTTGGTAGCAGCTACACAGAAAAAATTTATTTTTAAAAAAATATTGTCATAAATTAATTTGTTTGAAATTTTAAATAATTTTATTTATTATTTTCTTTTTAAAAAAAAAGTTATAAATTTTGAATTAAAATTTGTCCATATATTTTTTCTTAAGAAGAAAATTATTGTAAGAAAAATTATTTATTCAGCTAAGAAATAAATTTATTTAAAATTAAAAACAAATAAATTTTTTATGACAATATTTTTTTTTAAATAAATTATTTCTTGGAGTATAAAATATAAAATTGTTTTAAATATTTAATTTATAAACTGTACCAGTACTTTTACTTGCGATAAAATAACATATAATACTATTATATCGGGTATTGAAAGTAAAGTTCTGAAAGCCGGGTATTGAACCAATGAAAAATTTACCCCACGCATTCTAAGCCAGACGAGCAAACCATCAGCAATACAAACCTACAGCATTAGACCGAACAATTGAAAGACCCTATTGCTCTTTGAAAGTTCCGTGTGTGCACGTGTATTTACTATGAAAGATTCGCAAGGGAAGAATAAAAAAAATATATTTTGTCCGAGCCCCTGTGTTTGTTCGCTCACATCTCCAATTGTCGTGTAATCTTGACAATTATATTTTTTTTCAGCTCTTTAAACACTTTTAAAAAGTCTCTTATCTCTTCTTCAAACTCTAAGACAAATGTACTATTTTTTATTTTATCAGTCATTGAATTATTTCCTTTTGTGCGTTTACTTGAGTACACAGAGATCAAATGAATGGGTTTTTAAGCCAAGTGGCGGATGTTAAAGAGGATATTTTAAGAAGAGAATTGAAAGCCACAGGAAATTCAGGAGAGCACCAGGTGTCCTGATCTACTTAATTCTTCAGATATTTTATTTCCGGATGGAAGCTCCCATAAAACATGTCCGTCTTTCCTCAACTACCTACATATGTAATGGACACAGTGTAATAATAATTGGGCAGCACCGCATTGTACTGTCTAGTATAGTGAGGAAGATATTGAAAAAGAAGAAGAAGTCTTTGAGCTGGGCGAAAATTTCGATTGATTTGTGGAAGAAGAGGAATCGGTGTGTATGATAATATAAAAAAAAAAAAAAAACATTCATTGCAGTTTGTTGTAGATGTATCATATAGTCCAGCTGGCAACCAGCTGCCCACATCCTGTCTTGAAGAATATATGTGTATGTAGATGTATATTACCTATATACACGAGACCTCATTCTACTTACTCTTGGGTATTCTCTTTACTTTTATTTCTGGACGATGGGAAAAAATAAAAATTGAGAAAGAGTGGCGCTGCAGGGACTAAGACGGTGGATGGTGGATTGTCGACAGGCAGGTGCATTGGGCACGCGACCACTACCAACGCGTGCGCAAGCTCCAATCGTCAAAAAGATATATATTTTAACTCCAGGTTTTGTTTTTATCTTTTTTTTTTTTTTCACATGGCGGCAATTTGCACATGACCGAGTCTATTGAAGTGATATTCATACAGGTGCAAAAAGTTACATACTTACTACGTTTATTTGAGTTTTAAATATTATTTCAAATAATTATTCGTTAATCCGTTGCTTTTCCGTAAAAACACCTGCATAACATAATTATGCTGATACATCTGTCATTTTATTTTATTTAATCATTTTTTTATTTGTGTGATAAATTGTTGATATTTATTATAAAATAATATTGACAGTAATGATATAAATAAATTTTTATAATAATAAATCAGCAATGTCGATATTGTTTTGTGATTTTAAAAAAATAGCTGAAGGACTTGTTTATGAAAGAGAAACGGAAGAGAATGGCGATTTCTTGTCCACGACAATGCAACAAGCGTTACGAAAGTACTGCAACAGTTGTGATGGCGTAATATTTTCCCGTTTGCTTTTTCTTTATACATTATATTTATATATACAACTCTTATACTCTACCGAGCTCCAGAAAAATTTAGCGATAAATAATGTCTAACTATGTTTTATAATATTATTCATTTTTATGGTACAGAAAATAATGTCCGGCTGACATGAATGAAGGGATAAAAATGGCTTGTTAATTAATGCATCGAGATCAGGATAATGTGAACCAGGAAAAGAACACATACATTTCATTAATATTCCCCTTGCCATTACTATATCAGTTAATGTTAATGTTAATGTATATATTCATTTTAAATCTTGCCTTCAAGATTATCACCGTACGATTACTTAATTGTTGTATTTACAAATTAAGGGGTGTACTGGATTTTTGCATTAATTAATATATTTATAGGTGATAAATGTTTTAAGTAATTTGTAATTTAAATATTATTTTTTTTTTGCTGATTGCAGGGCTGTAAAATCGCTGCAGAAAGTACTGTGGGTTGATCCTAGTTTTTCACGTGCCTGTGAAGTTCATGTGCGACTCGGGCTCTCGCACAAGGTTCTCTCGGACTTTGATGCTGCTCTCAAACACCTGACACTTGCACTTATTGACGCTAGTACACCAGCTTCATTTACTAAACTTGAAAGTATGTATTTTTTTATTGTTTTAATAACAATTGGATGTTTTTTTTTTGTTTTATTTTTATTCCTTGTTTTTAATTTATGCAATTTGACAAGTTTATTGTTTTGTAATTTTAATTTATTCATTTTATAAAATGTTTAAAATTTTTTTTACAATGTTATGTAAAGAAATTTTTCTTTACATATTTATTAACTATAAAAATCGAATATAATTTTATTTCGTTTTTAACGATTGTTAAAGCTAATTTGAGTGCAGTCATTAAGTGTCTCGTTCGATTTTTGCAAAAGGCCCAGGGAAATTCCCGTAATTAGTCTGAGGGCCCAGGTATTTTAAAGAGATTAAATAGATAAATGGGAGTTTTGTTATACGTAAGCAAACTCACTTATACTTAAAATAAGAAATACTTAAGTAATGATAAAGAACATAAGATAAAAGATTTATTTTAAACCGAAAGATTTTAAAATAACTTAATGACAGAATTTTAGTGTTGAGAAAAATATCGAAATAAATTTTAATAATGAACTTTCTGAAATAATTTTTAGACAACAAAATTAAATATGAAATGAAAAACAAATAAAAAAAAAAAAAAAAAAAAAATAAATAGAACTTGAAAGTTAAATAATTAAAAATAAACAAATATTAAACAATTAAATTCTAAAATAATACAACAAATTTATAAAACGACAAAACAGAAATATTTCTACAAATAAATAATTTAAATTCAAGAAAACGTAAGAGATGCTAGATTCAAGTACATATTTATTCATACGATTTTAATAAATAAATTAATGTAGACAGTACAAATGTATGTCTTTGTCTATTGTCTATGCGTAAATGCGCTTACGTATACACAAACACTATCGATTGATGTTTCTCAAGGGGTAGTTGTCTTGACTCTTTTACTTTCTATTCTTTCATGGACTTGACCTGGTTTATCTTATAAATATCCTCACAATTACAATTCCTATTATTTAATATAAAATCCACTTACTCAAACAACAATCATTAGATTGTACAAAAAAAAAAAACAATTACCAAGATCCAATGTTAAAAAAATAAAAACTCGTAGTGATAAAGATAGAAACAAGTCAAACTGAGATGGAAAGAGGAAGCATTTATAGTTCGGTACGAGTACCGGTTTTTCGAGAGTTCGAAGACCTTAAGTATTTTTCTTTTCACATGTAGAGTATATTCGGTTAACCGTTTGCGCTCTTGCACTTAATTGTCAGTATTCTATAGTTCTAAAAAAAAAAAAAAAAAAACAAAGTATATATAAATAGACTAACAATTATTTTAAATTGCAGTAAGATTCCACATTGCCCACTTGTACGAGGTCCAAAGTAAATATCGGCTGGCCAAAGAGCACTACGAGGCCCTGCTCAAGGAAAAAAATTTGTCAACACATCTGCAGTCGGATATTTGTCGTCAACTAGGTAATTTTCACATCTAATTTTAATTAACTCTCTATTAATATTAATTATTTATATAATTTTTATTAATAGGTGAGTGACATAAGTTACGTCAATTGATAACTGATAATGATAGCTAATAATAACAATAACAAATACGTAATCAAGGATGAGCGTCGTCAACTTGAAAGTTGAACGGGTGTACAGCTTGGCAGACACGTATATTGATTTATTTCAAGGGTCGAAGAGTACGCGCGGAGCAGGGGCGGTTGCGTCGGGGATGAACAGGGAGATTTCTCAATGAGAGAGATAGATAGAGCGTAAGCCACGCCGGGGTAATTGTAGGCGGCTTTTTTTCTAACTTAAAAATTAATAACCCTTTACTTATCTTAAATAATTTATGTGTCGGCTACACCACGCACTCGGAGCGTGCATACACAACAACTATATTTATATTTTTTTTTATTTATATTCCAGAGCTATACAAAAATACACACACGGACATTTGAAGAAACATGCATAAGGAGGATTAAAAAATTATCATACTCATTCTTGATTCACCCTTTTATATTTATTTTTTATTTTAGTTTCCCACAATTTACAAAGTACATGCGTACGTAATAGTTAAATATTTTGTTAAATGTACAGCGTTGGACTACGTGATGCTATGAGCAGCCCCAATGGCGCTCATTCCCGTACATCTATACACCCAAAAGCCGAATAGAAAACCTAGGTCTATAAACCTTCCCCAAAGGTTGTCAATAGAAAAGAGGGGATTTAGAGCCAGGTGTTGGCTAGGCTAGATACTTTACTTTACTTTGCAGTAGCTAGCCTAGTTTATAGTTACTTGTAGGTCGTCAAGTGATCATATAATAATAATATATGGAACTTGTTATTTATTATTTAATTATTTAAAATAGAAATTTTATTTACTTTATAAAAAAAAAAATTGTGTATGAAATTTAGTTATTTTACACGGAGAAAAAAAAGTATTACTTTTGAGAAAATTTTTTTGTCATAAAAATATATCGGCTGTCCAATTTTTATACCTAATTTTGTTTTAATATTGCTGCATTTTTTATAACTTATAGACTTATAGACCTTAATTTCAAGTATTTTTTCTTAAAAATTTTTCTATTCATAAATCAAATTTTTCATCAATTTGGCAGGCAAACTTTTTTTTAATAAGAAAAATTTCTAAATGTTAGTTACTGTGTTTTGAAATTGAGCAGCCGATATATTCTTGATAATTTTCAAGAATATATTTCCTTGTTTCAAGAATTGTTAATCTATCAAAATTAATGCCAATATTTTATTATCATGATAAATATTCTTTTGTCAAAAAACCAAAATTTATTTTAAACAATTTTTGAACCAAGGAATTTTTTTCTGGACAATTTTTTTTTCTCAGTACATATTAAAAAAAAAAAAAAAAAAAAAATAGTAATTTAGAAAATTTAATCCGAAAGTATTTTGAGAGTTGTTGTTATTATTGAGCTGTGAAGTTAAAGCTTAAAGGATTAAGTGAAAGACACCGAATGAAATAGGTAGTTAAATTAAAAGTTAAAACTTTAGACAATATTTTCAAGTATATTACAAGGGATTGGACCGGTTTACGCCAATGGTTACGGGGGTTGTAATTTGAGACAAAGTTCAAGAGAGAGAAAAATCTAAGAATAAGAATAAGAAAACGAAAAGGAAGATAAAAGATGGAATGAAGTTAAATTGGTGGGGCAAAGTGGCTATTGAAAGTATACCTGCGAAATTTCTACTCAACATCTCAGTTATCTAGCTTCCAGCCTACTGGCAGTACTTGACAGCTTGTGCTTAATTCTTATAAACTATTTTTATTTTTGCTAAATACACTGTGAATTTTTTATTAAAGGATGGATGTACCACGTCGTTGACAGCTCGATCCTAGGGGTGCAACATAAGCAGCACAAGCAACATAAGCATGCGTTTGCAATCCATCTTCTTCAGAAGTCTATTGACGCTGAGCCGAAAAGCGGGCAGAGCCTGTATTTGCTGGGCCGTTGTCTAGCAGCTGGTAATAAGGTTCACGAAGCCTTCGTTGCTTATAGGTATGTACAGGAGGTAGAATCATTTTTTTTTAATGAAAATTTTTAACTTTTATTTTATTTTGTTTATAGGAATTCTGTTGAGAAAACTGAAGGCAATGCAGACACCTGGTGTAGTATAGGTGTCCTTTATCAGCAGCAAAATCAACCAACGGATGCTCTTCAAGCTTATATTTGTGCTGTGCAACTAGACAAGACTCATTCTGCAGCCTGGACTAATCTTGGGATTTTGTATGAATCTGTTAATCAACCAAAAGACGCGCTCGCTTGTTATCTTAACGCTTCAAGGTGATTATTAATTTTTTTTTTTTTTTTTTTTTTTTTTTTTTTTTTTTTTTTTTTTTTTTTCATTTAAATAAATAAAAATTTCAATTTTTTTTTATTTTCCTTTTTAATTATTCATTTTTTAATTTATTTAAAATATGAATTAATTTTTGAACNTTTTTTTTTTTTTTTTTTTTTTTTTTTTTTTAGTTTTTTTTTTTTTTTTTTTTTTATTTAAAATATTAAAAAAACAATTTTTTTTTTTTATTTACTTTTAATTATTCATTTTTTAATTTATTTAAAATATGAATTAATTTTTGGAATGTTTTTTTTTTTTATTAAAAATCATAAATTTTTTTATTTATTTAAAATGTTATGAATAAATTTTTAAAATATTTATTTAATTTAAATAAAAAATTATTAAACAAAATTTTTTGATTTAAAATTAAAAAAAATATTTTTTGTCTTATTGGTATAAATACCAGTTATATATTTTGATGTATACTTAATGCACATACTTTATGGTGAAAAGTTAATTGATTTGTATAGTTGATGTTTATACTGTATTATGTTGTATTTATTTTCAATGCCCGGTGACACTTAACAACCGAGTATAAACTCTGAAATAAAGGTTTCAGGTCGTGAAAATAATTTTCCAACCTTCTTGGGTAATGTCATAAAAGCTACCTAAATTTGAAACACCTTAAAAATTTATTGAGTTCAATTATAAATTAAAAATATTATTTGTGACGCTCAATAAATAAAAATAAATAAATAAATAAATAAAGTTAAAAAAAATTTATGAACAAAGTATATATGTTTAAAAATGAATTTTAGGAGCAACAGTAATTTATCAAGTCCAACGACAGCATTAGTTGGCTCAGGAGGTGTAAAGTCTGATGGGAACGTATCTATGAATCCATCTTTACACCAGCGAATAAATTTTCTCCAGAGTCATCTAAGTCAAGCTCCGATGCCATCTGTTGCAACAAAGTAAGTAAAATAATTATTTTAATTAGCACGACTAAACTTAAAATTGTCACTTACTTAAATTTTTTCTCGAAAGAAAACGCCCGTTTCCGTCAATTGAAGAAGCATGGAATTTACCAATAAGCGCCGAGATGTCTAGTAGACAACAGCAGCAGCAGCCTGCAAACCAGGCAGGTTATAAATACAATGCGACAACACCTTCAGGACCCCCGCCACCGTACCCTCAAGGTCAAGGACCACCTGTTACCACTAAAAGATTTAAGGCTGGCGAGGAGCCGATTTCGGCACCGCAGCCGCAGCCACAGCAACAACAGCCCCAGCAGCAGCGACCACCCTTCTACCTGACGACCCAGCAACTTCAAATGCTCCAGTTTTTCCAACAAAACCAGGGAAATTTGACCCAGCAGCAGCAAACTGTGCTGCAACAACTCCAAGTCCAGTATCGACTTATGCAGCAACATCAGCAGCAGCTTAGAATTCAGCAGCAGCAAGCCGCTCAGCGGGGATTAAGACCTGGTCAGCCTGGATATCCTACAGGTATTATAGAAATTTATTATGATAAATTTTTAAAGTATTTAATTTTTTATTTTAGTTTTTACAAGTCAATATAATTATTAGGTGTGAAATTTTTAATATCAATTCAATAATTTTATTTGAAATTAAATTGTGCAATTAAAAAAAAAATGGACATTGTGACCAAAAAAATTCATTTGTGAGAAAAATATTCATTTTTTTAGCTAAGAAATAAAATTTTTACCAAAAATAAATTTCTTATTTAAAATAAATTAAAATTTTGCGCTAGATAAAATTTCTTTATTTACTTGTTTTCTTTTGTATACATCAGTATAATTATTATATATATATATATATATATATATATATATATATATATA